ACTACTTTCCCTAACCACAATCATTTGTGAACGGTTTGGTGGCTTATACCTTGAAATGTCACTCGTCTACCTTGATCTGATTTCACCCACAGATAATTACACTACTAAATTCTAAGTGGTAGTTCAAGTCCAAGGGAAAATATAATTCAGTTACAGCTTAAAAAATGGTCCTTGCATTTGAAATGCACAGTCTAAGTGTTTTGATCTAGAAATAAAATTAAAATCAGTCTACCTTAAAGGCTTCTCTTAAAATTCTCAGATAGGCTTCAGGAGTTGGCCACTCACCTGAAAATGTTCATAAGGTGCTGCCTGCTTCAAAAGGCAACTTGGTCACAGAATGGGGAAGTCGACCGAGATTAAGCGAACTCAAAATTACTCGGGTAACAGCGAGCCGTTAGCTCTTCTGTGTGCCTTGCTTTTGTATTGTTGTTGTTTTAATCAGTATTGTGATCAGAAGCAGTGTTTAAAACATTATTTTGATAATAGCATGTAAACTTTCTTCAGCCAAACATGGTGATTCACACCTGCAATCTCAATATCTGGCTAGCAGAGGCAGAAGGATTGTCACCTCAGTTCCACTCGGAACTCATAGTGAGCCCTGTGCAAAAAAATCAAAGACTATAACTGTAGCTAAAAGGTAGAACATTTGCTTAGTGTTTGCAAGGCCCTGTGTTAGACCCCCCACAGGCAAAACAAACAATCATTATTTAAAGAGAATCAAGCAGATTGGAAGGTACAAGTAGTGGTGGGAATGAAAAGGTTGGCATGTGCTTGAGAGTTATTTTGAAAAAGGGATAAGAATGTCTAAGTCACCAACTGAAGGATGGGGCCCGACAAATGGTTTCAAGTCTAAATAACTGGGAAAATGGCCATATACGGGAAAGAAATCCAGCCATGGATTCTCTGGGGACAGTTTGAGCTTCCCACTTCAGTGAAATGAATGGCTTAGAAAAATGGGACAACAAGTAAAATACCTGAAAGTCCAGTAGCAATCGTGAGAGTGTGTTTTGCGGTGACCACAGGCCTTTAAAGAACTGATACACTGCTGTTTTTCTCTGAATTCTCCAGCTATGAACACACTCCTGGGATAGAATTTACCCTCAGCAAATGCAGCCTGGCTGGGAATTGGCTGACAGTATAGATTTAAAGGCAGGCTCTACAAAATCAACACCTAAGTTATGAGAGTGGACAAATGTTACCTTAGAAAGAAGGAAGAGTGAGGGAAGGGGGGATGATGGGGGGAAAGGGAGGGAGGCAGGAAGGGAGAAACAAAGAAAGGGAGGGAGAAAAGGAGGAAGGGGAAAGGGAGGAAGACAGGAAAGAGGGAGGGAGGGAGCAAGGGAAAGAGGGGATCAAGTCTTAAGAAATTAATATATTAGCAGATCTGGAAGTAAAAAAAATGAATAAATGAGACAAGGATGGTAAGTCAGAGAAATAAATAGACAAAACAAAAAAGAAGAGGAAGAGAGAAAAGACAGGGAGGGATGAGAAGGAAACAGGAAAGATAAAAGGGAACAAATGTGAGCAAGATAGAGTGACGCTGTGGGCAGGAAGAGATGTTACTCATATTTCTAACAATTGTATTATAGACTTCGAGAATATACGGACACAAAAATTACCAAGTCACATTTAGTGAGCAAAAATGGAAACCATTAAAATGTTTCCTTAATAACTTAAAGTAAATAAATGAATAGCTGCTGTCACATTGATTCATCTATTGCATGTGGGTGCTCAATAAATGTTAATTGAATTAAATTAATAACATTTGCTCAGCAGTAATAAAAAATTAATTAACTGTCTGTCTTACTGTTGCTAGTTTATGCCCACTGGTTCTTGCAATTACTTCTAACCCAAACAGGGATTTTTTTATTACAGTGACTTTCAAGATACACTTTAATTTTTTTTCTAAGAACTATAGAGAAGCTCCTAATTTTTGTCCCAATTTTTGGTTCATATTTTTGAAGTGAAAAAATTTATTTTCTCTGAGTTAATGTCAAGAACTATGTATAACATCCCAAATATAGTTTCATGGGTTCCTTATTTAATTTTAAAATACCATCCCGTGAGAGGATATGATGCCACTTTTCCCTGTGTTCCTCCTTTTAGCCCATGTGCTTTTTAATACTTTGGAGACAATGTCAAATAACACTGTAAAGGAAGGAATCTGGGGGAATTATTGTTAGCATTCCAGCTATAAAAAAATGGAAGCTGTCAGTAACATTTACCCAAAAAAAAAAAAAAATGTGACTCACTTCGATGTCAAAATTCTGGGTTGAACAGACTGGGCTCTGAATCGTGTGCGTGTCAGATGATTTTTTAATGAGCATCAGATAGTTCCCACTGAGGGATTAAAAAAATAAAAATATAAACAGAGATATAGAGTTAAAATAACTTTATGAATGGCAGTTTAAATTCTCTATAAAATCCTCCCTGTACAAACCTGGTGTGCTCCAAATGGTTGCTTAACGTAGCAAACCACTTACATTCAAAATGCTATACTTAAAAAATGCTGTACTTAAAAAAGTTGTCACAAAATTAAAAAGAGAAGCATATACCACTTGGCTGTAAACTGTACTCTCTGCATGTTTTTACATTCCAGTAACCTCTATCCAACTCTTTTTTGTTGTTGTTGTTGTTACCGAATTACTTTGTGCAAAAGCGATTCAAAATTGCATGCAGTCTGACTGTGCGTGATAATTTGAACCAATTGTTAATGAATTCTGTTAAGCAAAGAGCTTCTGTAATCTCTATAGTCATTATAGTTTGCTCTCAGCTCCTTCCTGAGCTACCTTTGAATGGACAACACACAGTAGCTATAGCTGAACAGGCTGTTCCCCAAGTGTGCAAGAAATCGGTCGTACTTCACCATGCAGAGAAAGGAGGTCTGTCAAATGGACTTATTTACAAGATTGGCTTTAGGATATTAGCGCATCTTAAGTCTTAGGGCATATAGTGCATTGCTGATATGTGATGTAGCTCAGCCACTAAAAGACAGCTACCTGAGACAGAAGGAAAAGGATCCATTAGGGACATATATAATATTTATGAAAAATGACGGTATGAACAAAGATTTTGAAGTCCCGAGAGCAGTGGTTCTCAATCTCCTTAATGCGGAGACCTTTTAATACAGTTCCTCATGTTGTAGTGCTTCCCAGCCATAAAATTATTTCATTGCTACTTCATAAGTGTAATATGCTAAAGTTGTTCTCATTCATCTACTAATTTCAATTCTAACTCTAATAATTCACCTATTAATACTAACATCTAATTTTCCTGTGCCATAAAAGAAGCCAATGGCAGTGTCTATCTCCTAGACTCTTTCAGCTGGCATGCTAGCACGATAAGGAATATAAACAACAATGTAAAGCTTGATGACGGACACATAAAGCAGGCACTAGTAAACATGCATTTGTGCTCAAAGCAGTGGTTTTCAGCCTGGGCAATATTGTCCCAGGAAAGAAATCTGGCAAGGCAAACAGTAAGTTTTTTATTTACCATAGCTTGGGGAAACAAGGTGCAACTGGTATCTCCTAAGTAGAAGATGAGGAGAACACTCCTTTGTACATCCATTGTATTGCTCAAAATCTGTACACTGCTACACAATCGAAGGCAGTATTTGAATGTCCATCTTCGTGGGAAACTGGCTGATTACTGGATGCCCTCACTCCCAGTTTAAAAAAAAAAAAAAAGACTCTCATTTTCACCATGACCACCACCATCATCATTGTGTTATTAACATGGCAAGTACCTCATGAGTTAGAGGAAGCCTAGAGTTTGCCAATGTATGCTGCCAATTCTATTTCTACATTCAGTATTCAATACTACATTAATTGCTGTCAACAATAGATGTTTTTCCCAAACCCCTACTTCTACCAATCTTTTTTAGAGTGGATTAAACCACCACCAAGAGATTTAAAGCCAGCAGCATATGGGAAAGGGAATAAAAATTAAACATTGTCAAAAACCAAGGCTGTTTGGAAAATCGGAAGGAAACAAAAATGGCCCAAGATGACTGTGTGTGGCAGACTGTTTGGTTTGCTTCCAGTTCAAGTCTTCAGAGAGAGACCATTTCATGATGAGTTTTGAGAGGCCCTGACTGACAAGTCTGGGGGTTGTTCTTGTTCTTCTTTTCTTCTCCCTGCAAAGCAGAACTCCTTAGAATTCCCAGGCTTGTCTACACATTGAGATCACTTGAGAAGTTTCAGTGAAGTCTCCAAAGGAAGGTGATTCAATGGTCTGCTGGGGACAATGGTACCTGAGCCTTTGAACAGTTCAAACACTTTAGCTTTCCCAGTGGACTGGACTATGTAGGAACTTCAGGGAACCATACTCCTCACAGGTAGGGGCAAGCAGAAGTTGCTTTCCTGGAAAAGAAAAGGCAGTTTTGAAACAGGCCATAACTATGGATTTAGGAAGAGTAGATTTCCTACACGGAACTGAATGTGCTCCTCAAATCATGTCAGCCTCTTTCTTGTCGCCCATCACGCACTGCTGAGTCAACCCAAACTTGGACTCACTGTAGGAATGTGATTGCTAGAACACATTTTCCATTTCTCAATAGTGCCAGCAGAAGACGTCCCTATGGCCAACCCGGTGGTGTGTTTAAGACTGTATCCCCATGTTTCTTCTTTTTCCATCTCAGGACTTTGCTTACAAGTGTACTATGTTATATATTAAGTTGCCCTTCGGCTTCATCCTCTCTCTGACACAGCATGGTAGAATTTTATTTCTCTACACATTTCCGTTTGTTAAAGTGTGGGTTGCTTGTGATAGGCACACTGAATCCCAATGTTCAGTCCAGTGTTGGCTCCATAACACATGCTTTTATGATATAGAATGAGGCCTTCTCCACTTCCCTTTTGCCTCTTCAAACTGGAGTCTTGGCCAGGACATTGCCAGGAGCTCCCCAAACATCTCCTACTTATCCCAATTAATTTCACACAATAAGTTATATTCCTCAGAAGACAGCCCCGAAGCCACAGAGGCCATCACCTGAGTAGGTACCTATAAAATACCATTCCTTTGATCAAAACATCCCATATATGAAAGGGGGTGTGTGTTTCAGAGCGTTCTCTGACAGCAGAGGAAGATCCAGCTTGTAGACTGATCATTTACACATGGCTTGTTTTTCTCCTAAATAGAAGCAAAGTGAGGTTTGTAGAAAAAAAAGCAAGAAAAAAATGAATAGTGATTTTATTGAGACCATCAAAAAGTATCAGAATCACCTGGCTTCTCATGACCATGATACACGGTGATGCTGATACAACACAGTGATATCTTGTTGATCCATATAAATGAATTCTTTGGTTTTCCCCTCTCACAATCCTGAAAGCTGATAGTAGAAAGATGTGTTACAAATTAATATGGAATTTACAATGTATATAAAAGTTTGTGATTTCACTTTTCAATTCTATCTGAAAATAATCTTGCTCGATAATGTTTTATTCCATTTCATAGGACTTTATTCTTTCAAAGTGTAAAATGTGAATTTTCCTGCAAATGTCCTTTCTTAGATCACAGTGAGTTTGTGTATATGTGTTTTCTTTTTTTTTTCATCTAGATACACAGCTCACAAATGAAAAGCATGCAGAAGAGAAACCTATTAATGCTATCATTATAAATTCAGTATCCGAATTCAATATCACAGATGGACCATCCCAGGAAAGCCCCAATGAGAAAAACCTGTCAGGATCGAGCACTTCACTCTCCTCCCTCGAAGAATGCCAAACGAAATTTCCCTACCTCCAAACTAATACTTCAGTTCATCGGAGAGATGCTGATGGTATGTTTCTCAGAATACAACCCATCTCTAAATAAAGCTCCCAACCCCAGTCCTTGTAAAATCACTACATATGCTGTTAGAAACAGAAAAAAGTCTTTATGAATATTAAACAGGATGACTTTGATTTGAAAACCCTACTGAATGACATGTGTCAAGGTCACTTTGTAGCGAGGAGGTGCTTGGCAGAGTGTTTGATCCCAGAGCTGGGAATCGGAGGCTATGTTTTAAATAGCTCGGACCAGAGCAGTATGCTCGGATGGGGCTGGAAAACCAGTAAAATCAAATAAAAATTTCTTTTCTCAGAAATGAGACCACTCTGCCTGTGGCTCTAAGCATATGGGACAAGGGGAAAACAGAGTGGAAAAGTAATAAAATTCTAGAACCAATAGACATGCAGGAATGGGGAGATGGCTCCTTTGGTAATGTGCTTGCTATATAAGAATGAGGACCCCAGTTCAATTCCCAGAACCCTCATAAAGAAGCGTGTAGGGGTAGTATTATCTTGCACTGGGGAGGTGGAAGCAGCCAGATCTTTGGGCCTTTCCTGTCAGCCAGCCTAACCTACTTGGTGAACTCTGGGCCAGTGAGACACATCTTCTCAAAAGACAGGTAGTCAGCACTGGAGGTATGATTCTCAAGGTTGATCTCTGGCTTCCCAGCCCAAACACAAATAAAAAATACCATATAAAATATCAATGCATTTACATCAACCATCTCTGGGCAAGGGTTGGCTCTCCTGGTATTCTGATCAAGTGCAGCCATAGGCCAGCACACCCCCATATACTCTGTACAACAAAGCCAATTTCAGATTGATTTGGTACTACCCAATCAGCTCAGTCAAGTTAAAGCTCATGGATCTTCCACCATGATAAATAAAGTTTAGCTCAGAGTAACTTTGCAATCACCTCTCCAGGGATAATGAGCTGCTCAAGAGTTCTGTAGTATTCCAATTCTGTACCTATGGTTCCACTGAAATAACCCCTGAGCTTTTCAGAAGTGTGGTTTCTTATCTGCACCTCGTATTTCATCATTGAAAATAAGAAAAATGGTCAAAGCTTGCATAAAAACCCATTCATCATCCCATTAATTTAACTACTGCTTCTGGAGTGTATTAATTGGATAAAACAGGACAGGTTTGGGGTTTGCCTTTTCTGTCTTAACCTCCCAACCTCAGTCTCTTAGTTCTGTACCAGGGTTAGCAACAACCCAAGGGCCAGTGTGGGGTCTGAATGAAGTATGTGTACAAAGCACCTACTGCAAAAGCTGGCACACAGAATTTCAACTTTAGCTTTTCATATGATTGCAGTTTATTTTTTTTTTGAGAGGAAAGAGAGAGACTTCTACCATGTGTTGTAAATGTGCTGTCTTATGCAAATGTTGATATGGATACCCAAAAGCAGAGACTAGAGACTTGGTTGGTTAAGACTGCCAGAAAAGAATGTGAATAATGAAGCTGGAAGTAAACAAGTGGGAACAGTGAGGACTGTGGAAACCTGAAGATTACCTCAGCTAAAGGTCATTAAAACTTCGCTTCTGAGAGAATGACTGCATAGATCAAGTATCTTTTGCTCCCAATCACAAGGATGTAAAGCTAGATCTCCTGAACACAGGTGAAGAAAGACACATAGTGGTGGGTTTCTAATCCCAGCACTGAGGAGGCAGAGGTAGGGGTACCCCTGAGGAGGCAGAGGTAGGGGTACCCCTGAGGAGGCAGAGGTAGGGGTACCTCTGAGGAGGCAGAGGTAGGGGTACCCCTGAGGAGGCAGAGGTAGGGGTACCCCTGAGGAGGCAGAGGTAGGGGTACCCCTGGACTCACCTTCAGCCAATCAAGGCCACTTGATAAGCTCCAAGTCAATTTGAGACCTTGTCTCAAGAGAGGTGGACAAAGTTCCTAAGGATAACAACTAAAGTACTTCTGGAGCCTACAGAGAATAGGAGAGAGAGAGAGATAGAGACAGAGACAGAGAGACAGAGAAAGAGAGGGAGAGAAAGTGTCATTTTTTTTACCCAACTCAAACCAGAGGGAACAATAGGTTAAGAGTTGCTTGATTTTTTTTTTTTTAATTTGAAACAGGGTCTCTCTATGTAGCCTTGGCTGTCCTAGAACTCACATTGTAGACCAGGCTGGCTTTGAACTCTCAGAAATCTACCTGCCTCTGCCTCTCAGGTGCTGGGATTAAAGGCATGTGCCACTCTACCCAATTGAGTTGCCAGAGCCTGAAGTGATCTAAAAATATGTAGAGAATAAGGATGTCACATGAAACTTCTAAATATTTTAATATTGATAATGACTTCTATTTACTCTCTGACACACGAGGCATCTCGATGTGTCTTTGGGTCATCTTTGATCTGTCAACTAGGGCTGCCACTAGAGTTTAACTTTGATTGAGACAAAGGGAAGGCATGAAAACAAGCAGGGAGTGGGGTTCTCGAAAAGCATCTGAAGGCAGAGTGTTTCTGTGGGTTTTATGGGGAGGTGGAGACGAGGCTCATTGTATGCACCAGGGAAATGACCCCAGAATTAGGAAGCGTCTTTATACACAGCCACAGACATAGCGTCCCCCACAGAGCATGTCCCTCTGTCCAGTTGGGAACCCGGAGAGAAGCGTGAGATCAACTGTCTCCTGTTCTCAGGGAAAGGGGGAAATGACCACTCTGTTCAAATGGCGACTGATACTTCAGAGCCTCCTGGTAGGAAAAAAAAAAAAAAGAAAGATTTCTCCTGTTCAAATGTGCAAAGGGGGGTCAGGAGGATGTGTAGATAAAGCTGCTCATTCTAAGAGGTGACTAAGACCAGGAGGATGTAGAAAACTCAGGTTTTCAGCAGAGGATGGAGGTCATAAGCCACCCTTCCTTGCTCTCTTTTTGGAAAAATAAATCTCCCCAGTGAGGTTAGAGCTTCCGGTAGCTGGGTAAAAGAGGAAGTAAAAGACTCATACTAAGAATCACACATCATAATTTAAAAAATGAAAAACACTCATCCTAAACAGCAGTGAAATCAGCAGTTAAGTCAGCCCCACTCCTCACTTTAGAGAATTTTTATAATAGTTTAAGGGTGCAGAAATTGAGAAGTAGGGTCATGTTCATACTGAGACGAATACAGAAATGTCTGTTAGGAACACAGGGACAACAGAAAGGGAAAAGAGAAGATTGTGTCCATGTTCGTGCAGTTTGTGGTTAATTTATTTTGAAAAGTATAAATGAGTTCTGGAGAATGGATGCCTAATTACTAATATCTACATATATCACCTCCTCTTAAAACAGGTTGGAAAAGGCTCACATAGGCAGATTTTGTAAAAATGTGTTGCATCCATTAGCAGAGTTCACAGGGTGTGCTCTGATGGGAATTTAAAAGGATCTTTCCTGAACCTCACAGTCTCTACTCCAGCAGTTTGTCAGTAGCTATGGCTCATCATGTGCGGTCTCTTACCAGAAGGAAATGGAAAACACACCCTGGGTACCCTGCATGCACCTGCTCCCCTGTCCATAATCTTCTGCTTGCAAAAGCATCATGTAGAAAAGAAAGCCAGGGGCACACATCACCTTGGATAGCAGGCTCCTTGGAAAGTAACCTTGTAAATATGCCTAATTGATGTATAATTTTGAATTTCAGACATCTAATCCAGGTGGAAGGAGAAAAATCATAAATACAAGATACCTGCAAAGAATAGTCTTAATTACACCATGGGCTACTGAATAAAATGATTACATTTTCTACACTGTAAATTTCGTACAATTAAATGTAGTGGTGTCACCTTATAAAGTGTTTCAATTTTATAATTATTTCAGTTCATTTGCTCAGAAAAAAACATAAGCACAAATTTACCAAGTATCACCCAAATCTAGTCATTCTACTTCTAAAGGAGTGACGTGGATGTTAGTTGTGCTTGTCTGAGCTTAAATAGATCTTGACATATTTAAGGAGCTGTTAAAATTGATAACATCAGGGATGATAGCCCTGCTAGAGAAAGGCATTCAGTCACACTTTATTTATTCGCATTCTAAGTTACAGACATGTATTTATAAAGGGCTTAATGCTGGGAGGAGGGATTTCAGTTTTTATGCTTCTGGACCCAGAACCTTCAGTAGTCAGTTGCTGCTGCTGTGTTGCATGTCTGTCAGTGGCAGCACACAGCTACACTGAGGCACTGGGCTGAGGCCAGGACCATCTGGTCTATTTCTCATCCTACTATGTTCTAGTGGAGTAATGGGTGAGGAAAAATGCTGTTTCTCTGGGTCACTTCTATAAAAACTACACTTGTGATGCTTTGCTTGATGACCAACAAGGAAGCAAGAGGCTATTTCTGAAGTTAAAAAATGTCCTAGGAGCCACAACTGGCAACCAGGGATGCCCCCCCCTGCCCCGCGCCCTCTATTTTTCTCATGTGGGGAAATCGTGCAATGAGTCAGAAAGCTGGGAGGGCCATGTCAAGGAATGAGGCTGACCCCAGGTACACAAGTGGAGCGTCTTGGCTTTGTTATCATTTCCACTATAATTAAACATGAGCCTTTCTAATGAGACACATTCTCCCTCTTAATTAGCCAATCCCCAGCAGAATGTTTAGCACCTCGAAGCTGCCTTAATTCTTCTGTGTTATTAAAGTATCATCACTTAGCACATTCCAGCTTGAAAGTACCTTAGGGGTATAGAAAAGACTTGAGACAACCCTCAGAGGGATTTTCCAAGGCTCCTTGCTCATAGCTAAATACAGCTGTGGCAGCTTGGCCTGCAGGTCTTGGATCATTTCCTACTGCCTTTATTCCAGGTTTAGGAGGGAGGATGGGCATTCTGACAGCAGTGATTAGAGGCAATGCCAGGGTACCAGGTGGTTCAACAGAGAGGATTTCCTGTGCAAGGAACTTGTTGCAAAGGTGCTAAGAGAGTTGAAAAGGCCAGTGCAGCAAACAGTGGGGTAACCCAGAAATCCACACCATGAAAAGGCTCTGTCTGCCCCTGATTCTCCAGACTAGCACACTACTGCACTGAACTCATAGACCCC